CTGCAGCAAAATATTTCCAGTCTAGAGCAGGCATCCATTCGTAGCTGCCTTCAAGTTTTTGTAAGGACTTAAAAGGCTGTTTTCCCTGGGGTGATTCTACAGCTGTTGTCAGATGCCTAGTAAAAGGAACTTACTCCTTTGTGATCCGTAGCTGTTTCATGTAACTGTAGAATGTCCCATCCTTTTTGCTAGTACTGGGGATTGAACCAGGAACCTTGAAGTGAGCTACTTCCCCAGCTCTTGATAACATCTTTTGTTTTGTGCTAAGTTGTCTAGGCTAGGCTTGAACTTAATGATCCTCCTAACTCAGACTCCCAGAGTATGGGTATGACAAGCACGCACCACCATGCCTGATTTGAATGTTCCATCTTTTAGACATCATCCATCTCCCAAGCATTTGTTTCAGAAACTGGGGTAGCTTCCAGGTTGGTTTTGTAAATCTTTTGATTTCTCCAGTCACTCATTAACTCAGCCTGTTCACTTACCGGAGATTATAGTTCTAGACTCATTCTAACTGTAAAACATTCTCCTAAGTGAATGGGATGGTTGGCTTAATTGGAACATTCACACCCAAGCTTCTCAGTAGTAACTTTGACAAGCAAAGAATGATTAAAATAAAGCAGCACTAGTCATCATAGTATGCAGATTAGTTGCCTTAAAAGACTTGAAATCCAATAACTATTTATATTTTAAATTCCACATCCCAGATTTTATAGACTCATAAAATTGGAAAGGACCTCAGCCAGTGTTCAACCAAGGTTTCTTAACTGTTTCTTTTGTTTGTTTTTTTGAGACAGTGTCACTGTGTAGTTTGGGATGGCCTTTCTTCATTGTGTCTTGTTAGAAATTTTGAAAAGTACATGCAAAAGTTTGTATTGGATTTGAAGACAATGTCAGGCTCACAGAATGTACTGATGGATCCTAGATGAGAAATCCCTGTTCTAGTCCAAAGCCTGCCCTTGGGGACTAGAGAGGCTAAGTGACAGTGTAAGGTCGTAGAACTTCTGTAGCTGAGTTCTTCTGTTAGTCAACTCTTTCTCCGTTATTCTATCCCTTTTCGTAAAACCAACTCTGAATTGATAGAGGAAGAGCTAGGAGTTTTAATCCTTAAAATCAATGATTTCAGCTTTGTTTTTCTCAACCAGGAGAGTAAAGTAGAAGAATACCCAAAACGTTTGAGTCAGTGATTTAGAAAAGTGAAATAACAAAGCAATTTTTTATAACTCACTGTGGTTATTTAGTGCTAATCCGGATCCCTACTAGTACAGCGTATCTCATTGTCTCATCATTTCCTTATCTGGACTGCCAACACCTAGATCCATCATGTGACTGTCAGACACATCCCTCTAGAGCACACACTTTTGTGATTTCTTTTTTTTTTTTTTTTTTGGTTTTTCTCCGGTACCGGGAACCGAACTCACGACCTTCCGCTTGCCAGGCAAGCGCTTTTGCCGCTGAGCTAAATCCCCAGCCCCAGCACACACTTTTGTGTTTGTCATGTCTCCTCCTTCCTTTTCTTGCTTCTCCCAAAGGCCTCCTGTAGTTGGGCGCAGTCTGAGCCGTACTACCTATCCCACCTTTGGGGGCTGCCTCAACCAGAAGGCATCATGTAAGCTTAAATTGTCGTCTGTTATCATTGTTTGCGTCCCAGTTTTATTGTCTCCTAGCAGTGTACATCTGATCGAGTTGCTTGCTCAGTGTCTTCATCTATAAAATTTGTATTTGTTTTGCAGTCTCCTGTTGTAAGAAGTAAATGTAGCATCTGGTTTAGTTAAGCGGCATGAGCTGGGGATATAGCTCAGTGGCACAAGCACCTTCCTGGCAAGCGCAAGGTCCTGAGTTCAATTTCTGGTATCAAAAAAAAAAAAAGTGGCAGCTTGTATATCCCACCACACCCTTCACATTCTTAATTGGAGTCAGGCAAGTGTCTCCAAGTACTCTGTGCTCCACTGTATCATGTACTAATGTATCGTTTATACAGCATCAACTAAATGCCTTCTCTGTGTTAGTCATTGATGCATTGGGGTGGAAAAGCATGTTCTCTTTTTCCTCTGTTCATAATAATTTCTGTATTGGTACTAACATGTGCAGCCTCAGCAGTCTTTTCTATAAAATTTGATCATTAAATTAACAGAAAGATTTGTGAAACTTTAAATAAAAGTTTTCCCCAACTTTGTAAGAGGACAGTTGTTTTCTTTCCACGGGGGGGTGGGGGTAGCACTTTAGGTAAGAGGGCCTTCTTTTGGAAGCCCAGACCTCTAGCTCCAGAGTGATAAAGAACAGCTGATAACGCAGCTTGGCTCAGCTTCTAATTTGATGCTTCTGCGGGCTGAGAGCCAACACTTTGCCTCTGATTTGTGGGTAGGGGTCTAAGTGCAGTCCTAAACTGATTAGAAGGATTTCATTTCTTAATCTTCTGTCTTGATTGAGTTCTTACAGTCGTTTGAAAAAAATCATGCATACTCAAGTAGATATATATTTATTCATAAAATGGAAATTATTTCAATATTTCACATATTTTAAAATACATTAAAATATAAGTTAAAGACCAAGCTTTAAAGAAAAGCAGCAGCAGCAGCTGTGTTTCCGAGCCCTGGGGGATCAAGCAGCTTCCTTTTTGGAGGACCCACTGCAGCCCTTCGTGGAGCTCAGTCTTCTGGCTAGTTCAGGCCTACCTCATGCTGCTGTGCTTGCCTCATTGTTGATTTCACTATTTAGCTAGGCAGCTGGGTTGTAAAATACCTGAGGTTGGAGACTAGATAAGGTCTTTCATTTCTTTTGTATCCTGCAACATTATCCAGCACAATTGTGGATACATAACTATAGAATGTATACTTGTTGATTTAGTCTTGGGATCATTTCAGAGTATCATTTCTCTGATTTTTTTTTCTTTTTCTTTTTGAGGTAAGGTTTCATTTTGCAGTTCAGGCTGACCTTGAACTCACTTTGTAGCCTAGGTTGGCCTCGAACTTGGAGTGATCCTCCTGCCTCAGCCTCCCCAGGGCTGGGATTTCAGATGTGTGCCACCACACCCAGCTCTGTTTCACTGATTACTAGTAAAAGAAAAAATATTCCTAGCCTTACTCTACCTTAGTAATTCTGGGTTTTATACTGCATACTGCTCTTCCAGGATTAAAGATAATCAAGCCTGTACATATTTACAATTTGGAGGGAATACATTATATTTGATGAAGTGATTTGATTTGGACGTCAGGGGAATGAAGCCTTCTGAGAACCAAACCTGAGTTGGCACGCACATGTTTTTGTCCTTTCATTCCTTATCAAACAGCAAAGTGCTAAACCATAGCATTTCCTTTGTAATCAGATTTTATTGGTACATTTTAGATATACACAATGATCACAGCCGTCACAGAGCATTTTCTTTTTATGCGTTCTCTAATTAATTTGTGTTGGCATTGATGTTCTCACTGTTGCCAAAGTTGTGTAAAATACTACTTCGTATTTTGTATTTTGCAGGGCTCTGTTCTGTTTTTCTTAAGCCTTACTATGTTCTTTGACTCTAAAGACAATAGCTAAGTGGTTTCATAAATCTCAGAAGCCTAACATCACAATCTTGTTCTTACGACATTTCTTTATTCTCATTTTTCGAGGAACTAAATATAGGAAGAAAGTACAAAAACTGTTTATAGTCAGTTGCAAATCAAGACACCAAATGACGTGAAAAACTAACTCAAAAATTGGAGTTTGTGTCTCTATGGATTATGTTACTCCTTTATAAAAAGTGTAGTATGCTGTAACTACTAATATAATTCACTAATTTTAGATCAAAGCTGTTACCAGTTATAATTTAAGATTTGGGGATTTTAAATTGTTTTATTTGCCTGATATATTAATTTATTTTTCTTCATTTAATAAACATTCGAATTTGAATGGCCCAAATTGACGTTTATTTTTCTCGCCCATAACTATGCAGGTTATTTGGGATTGCTTTGCTCCAGGCCACGGGTTGGCTTCAGATGTGCCCTGGTCTTTCGTAGGGGGAAAGGCAAAAATACAGGCCAAAGCTGCCAAGCGCTTAAAGCCTCTGCTCATGGCTGTGTCTACTAGAGTTACCCTGGCCAGAGCCAGTCATTGATCTAGCTCCATCTTGGGGGGTCCAGGCTGTGTATCAGTTCACAGCAGGACGCAGAGCAAACTGTAAAGGGTGGTGCAAAGGAGTGAGAGTGAAAAGCTGGGGGAAGTAACCCAGCCTGCCCCTGTACAGGAGCAAGCCATTAACACAGTCATTGATTTGCTAGTATACGTCCTGTGGGCTACCGAGATGAGAGTTTTCATCTTGACTACATTATTTAGAAAATTCTCCAGTGCTCTAGATTTCTTTCAAAAATGCCCCTTTTGCCAAAGTTACTGTTCAATAGAAATATGTACAAGCAGAGGATTGTGATATTGCCTTCTATGTGTTGTATGAGAAAGAACTAGAATGGCTGATGGATAGGAAAATTTAAGAAGTAGATTAGAAGGGAATAGAGCTGGCGTGGTGGTGCACACCTGTAATCCCAGCACTTGGGAAGCTGAAACAGCAGGATTGTGGCAAGTTCGAGGCCATCCTGGGTTACAAAGTGAGCTCAAGGCCAGCCTGAACTGCACAGGGAGACCCTGTCTCAAAAAGACCAAAGAAAAGAAAAGAAAGATCTTGTCTCAGAACAAACGCATGCCATAAAATTGGAAAATATCAGGTCAAAGGAAAGTGTCTCTGTGTTGTTACTGTTTTTGTACATTTTGCTGTGTTCTTCCCATTTTCCAGTTTGTACCATCAGGTAGGAAAGGATCATGGCTCATATGTACTTTCTGGAACATTCTTCCCAGCATCTAAAAGATACGAAGTGCCATTTTATTCCCCATATGAAGAAATAGATTCAATTGCATATTAAGATTTCTTCTTTTGAGTTTATTTTGGTGCTACTTGAAACTTTGATTTTTTTGTATTTATTTATTATTGTTCTTTAAAACATCGTGTCTTTTTTTTTCTTTCCTTCTAGCCTGAAAATGAAATTTCTTCAGACTGCAATCATGTAAGTATGGACTTTCTGTAACTCACCATATGTGCCTTATATATATGATAACATACTAGGATGCTTTTTCTGTCGTTTTAGGAAGCTTTATGTTTTCTTAGATTCTCTTAATCTTAGAAGGATGATAAACTTTCAGAACCCTGGTAAAATCCATAACTTCCCCTTCATTGCAGAAGCCAACAGTTTGTGCCAAATAACACTTATGTGCTTAGGTTTAAACTTTCCTTTATTGTGGGGGGAGGTGTTTGCTTGTTTGTGTTTGTTTTAAAATTTTATTATTATTATTTTTGTTTTTTGAGACAAGGTCTTGCTATGTAGTTCAGACTAACATTGAACTAATAACCCAGGCTGGCCTTGAAATTGTGACATCTTCCTGCCTCAGCCTCCCAAGTGTGGAGATTACAGACGTGTGCCAGCATGCCTGTAAAACTTTCTTCTATTATAACTCCTATATGAAAATAATTAGTTCTGTGCTTATCAAGTAGACAACTTTAAAAATACTATATTTATAGTTTTTTCATTAGTCATTTATGAGTGGTAGTACATTGAAAGGAGACTAGGTTGAAGTCTATGTAAAGCACAGTGGGGACGCAAAGTGAATTTTGTCCCGGTGGGTTGATGTCAAGAAAGGCTAGTGAGTTAGGTCTTTAAAAAGCTGTATATCTGGCGGGTAGCACCCCACCACATTGTAGCAGGTAGGCTACATAAGGGGACTTAAAAAACTGACACATTGGCTGCTTAGCTTTACTACTTATTCTTTTTTTTTTTTTGTCTTTTTGAGACAGGGTCTCACTATGCAGTTCAGGCTGGCCTTGAGTGCACTTTGTAGCCCAGGCTGGTGTTGAACTCGCAAGGAGTCTCCTGCCTCAGCCTCCCGAGTGCTGGGATTACAGGCGTGCCCTCACCACGCCTGGCCTTAGTACTTATTCTAAATTTAATTATATAAAATTTTATTTTATTGGGGCTGGGATGTACTTCAGTAGTAGCACCATACTTAAATTTATTTATTAAGTGCAACATTAAACCAGGCATGGTGGTGCATGCTTCTTATCCCAGCACTCGGGAGACTGAGGCAGGAGGATTGCTCAAGTAAGATAGTTGAACAGCAGTGTCTCAAAGCTGATGTTATCTGAATGGCATAAACATTGAAAAGGTGCTCAACTTCATCAGTGATCAGGTACCTGCCATTAGAATCTCTGAAATTTAAAAAGACAAAATAAATAAGTTTAAAAATGGAAAAAGCTGACTGTAGCCCAGGCTTCCATGAACTCGAGGCAAACCTCCTGCCTCGGCCTCCCCAGTGCTGGGATTATAGGTGTACATACACCGTGCCTGGCTGTAAGCTTTTTGGCATTTTTAACTAAAGCTGAACATAGATGTAGTGTGTGACCACCCGTTTCACCCTAGATGTTTCCCCAGCACAGCTGCTTATAAATCCACGTGAAGGGAATGCACAAGAAGATTGGTGGCAGCTTATAACGGCCCTGTAAACCGTAAGCAAATCCTCCCAGTGAGAATTTGGTCCCCCTCTCCCAGTACCAGGACTGGATTGAACCCAGGACCTTTGAAGTAAACTACATCTCCAGCCCATCTTTATTTTTTTACATGTTGAGACAAGGTCTCACTAAGTTGCTAAATTGCCCAACCTGGTGTTAAATTTGCTATCCCCACTCGGGTGTGTTGGCGCATATCTGTAGTCCCCACACTCGGGATGCTGAGGCAGGAGGATCACTGAAAGTTAATGGCCAGCCTGGACTGCATAGTGAAACCCTATTTCAAAAAACCAAACCAAACCAAAACAAAACATTGCCATCCTCCTGCCTCAACCTCCTAGCTGGGATTTTAGCTGTGCACAACCATGAATCCTGTTAACGTCTCAGCTCAGTTCTCCTCTTGATAAGAATTAAAATGTCAGCTGAATTTCTAGACAACACTGTTTGTGATCAAAGTGGCCCAGTTGGTAAATTTCATACAGACTGGGAAGAACTATAAAGGAATTACAAAGACCAGGAAGGTGTGACTCTGTACTTGGGTGGGCCTGCAGAAGTGGCCCTGGAAGCTATGGCAGAGGACTGCTGAAGTGTTACGCTGCCCCGAGGCTCCTGGAGTGGGGGAGGGGGACTGCTGCTCCTGGGGTGGCGATTCTTGTCTTTCCCTTCCAGTCTGGACCCTCCACAGAGTTCAGCTCCACCTGAGGATCTACAGTTTTCTTTTTGTCTAGCGCTCATTTCCAGAACCAAACTTGATTTCCCACCCATAACCCTTCACCTCCTACATTCTTCCCCATCTCAGTCAGTAGCTCCTTTATTTTTCCTGTTGCTCAGATCCGAAACCTGGATTCCTCTCTTGCTCTCTTTGTCCCTGTTCTTTTTGATGTAGATCCGGAGTCAGAGCACTGTGCCTGAGCCCGGCCACTCCACTGTCTTCAGGAAGAGCCTCCTCAGCGGCCTCCTGTCCCCTGTGCGGTGCATGCGATGGCCTGGGGCGCCCCAGTGACGCATCAGTCAGATGTGTAACTGCTCTGCCCAAAGCCCTCAAGCCTTTTCCCCTCTCTTAGCCTCTCCAGTTCTTGTCGCTGGCAGCTCTCTCAGTTCTCCCGCCACTGCTGTCCCTTGCTACACTTAAGCCTCAGTCCTCCTTGCTGCTCCTCAGTGTTTTGTTTTGAGACAGGGTCTCACTGTGTGGCCTAGGCTGGCCTCAAACCACAGAGATCCTCTTGCCTCAGCCTCTGGAGTGCTGGGATTACAGGCGTGCGCCACCACTCCTGGCTTGCTCCTCAGAGAGTTGAAGAATGTGCTGTTTTCCTGGGAGAACATTTCACCTTGTGTGGATTCGTATTTCTCCCTTGTGTAGAGTAGCACCCCGCCCCACCCCCTTTCACCCTATAGAGTATCTCCTGACTTTTATTTGATTATTTGTAATTATCTTTCTTTCCTACGTAGAAAATAACTCCGTGGAGGCAAGGATTTTTCCCTTCCTGCTCACTACTGCCTTGAACAGTGCCTGGCATGTGCTAGGTGCTCAAAAAGAGCGGGGGGGGGGGGGAAGTGAGGAAATTTCCAAGAACTAAAGGATATGCACTTCCAAACTGAAAGATCTCCATATGCCCAGTATCATAGATGGGAAGATAACTGACTGCAGGGCACATACCAAGTAAAATTTCAAGGTTCTGTTTTGTTGTGTTGGTAGTACTGGAGCCTTTGCTCTGAGCTGTATCCCCAGCGCTGCTTTTTGTTTTGTTTTTTGAGACAGCGTTTTGCTGTGCTATTCAGGCTGGACTTGAATTTTCTAAGTAACCCAGGCTGGCCTCAAACTCACAGCGATCCTCCCGCCTCAGCCTCCCAAATGCTGGGATTACAGGCGTGCATCACCATGCCCAGCAATAGACCACACTTTCCAAGAATTGACTGTGGAGAAATTTTCCTTCATTTTTCACACCCTGGTCTTGTAATTACTTTATTCCTCATATGTCGAATATACCCCATTTATCTCCCATCCAAGTCAATTCTTGCCTCTTAACTAAGCTGGCATCCCCCAGTCTTGCCCTTCTCCACAGTGTAATCAGAGTTGCTCTTTTGAGTGCTCTGGTGAAAATTGTGTACTAGCTCCCATTTCTTTGATATAAACTCCAGCACTCAGTGTGATTGGGTTCCTGCTTTCTTCCCCGGCCTCATCATTCAAACTCTCCATGCCGGCCATTTTGAAGTAGGGAGGACTCTCATGCAATATCCTCACCCCTTCTTCCCTCCTACTTTCGCCTCCCTGGAGCCCCAGTTTCCCAGTTCATCTGGCAGAATTTCTTCTAGTTCCTGAGCAAGGGGCTGTTGTTCTCCCTGACCTCCTCCCTTTGTCCTGTGGCTGAGCTCATTGACAATGGTTGGGAGGTTAGAGCTGATTTCTCTGATTTTGGATGGAGCAAGAAACCCTGTATATCCTTCTGCTTCTTCACCGAGCCTTCCTCGGCACTCCTAGATGCAACTGCTTGCTTCTGTGTCATGCCCATTGACACTTCGCTGTGCCTCCCTCCCACTTCCAGAAAGCGGGCCCAGTTGTGTCACCCGCTTACTTTCCCTTCAGTGACACCCCCTTCACTGTGGGGTTGAAGTTCAAACGTGGCTTACAGCTTTGGGGTCTGGGCCTGGCCTGCCTCTCCTGACTCACCCTCCCTTGGAATTTGAGTTCTCCTAACACCCACTGTCATGCGAGCTGCTTCATTAACTTAAAACACGTTCCCTACCCTTCCATCCTGCTTTATCCTGCGACTTCTCCTGACCTTCTAGGATCATCCCTGTAGATAGCATTTTCCCTGGAAAGCCTTCCCTGATCAAACTCTCCTTCCACTTCCCCTTGGGTGCTCCTCCCATGCTGCTGTGGTACCCCGATGCCATTCACTGCTCCCGTGGATGGTGGCGGTCATTCCTGGGCAGTCTGTCTTTCTCACCTTCTGCTTTGTGCTGTAGTTCCTACACAGTGCCTGCAGCGTAGCGTGCACTCTGTAAATGCTTCTGTCTCTAGTTCCCAGACTCCTGGAAATTGGATCGCATGTGGTGCAGTGCAGGTGCTAAGCAGATGCATTAATACAGTGAAAGACTGGTTATATTCCCTCATCCTTCAGCACAGCAGACAGAAAGGAATGGATCCCTCCAGAACAGCCTTAGGTTCCATCCCCAGCAGCACTGAAAGAAAAAAGAGCAGTCCTTTAAAGTAGTTTATAGTCAAGTATTTCAAAGGATTGAGATAAATCACTGGAAAGAAGATGCTGAACAACTCCTTCATAACTGATCTGTAAAAGCACTGATGGACTGGGCTTGGTGGTGGACACCTGTAATCCCAGCACTCAGGAGGCTGAGGGAGAGAACTGCAAGTTCAAGGCCAGCCTGGGCTACATAGTGAGTTGAAGGCCAGCCTGAACTGTACAGCGAGACCCTGTCTAAAAAACAAAAGAAGAAAGAAAGCACTGTTGGTGATGAAATCTCAGAATCTGCCACATCTGAACTGCTGGATTAGACTTTCTGGTTTAAGCATAAGTTAGCTTCTGCAACCTATTTATTTTTTTTCTCTGAAAACTTTTATCAGCAACTTTAATATTTCAGTTTTTCTTGACACTAAATGATTTTAATTCATAATTTTAAAAAAATTACCCGTTAGCTGGGCGTGGTGGCGCATGCCTGTAATCCCAGCGCTTGGGAGGCTGAGGCAGAAAGCTTGTTGGGAGTTGGAGACCAGCCTGGGCTTCAGAGTGAGCTCAAGGCCAGCCTGAACTGCACAGTGAGAATCTGTCTCAAAAAGACCAAAAAAAAAAAAAAAGTTTGAATGGTACTGCTTTTATTTTATCTGAATGTGTTTTCCCTTTTATCTGTGGATGTAATGCATTTTATGTTACTTTTTGTTACCTGGCATGTAAGAACATTTTATCTGACCATGTAATTTTTTTTTTTACATGTATAGTGACCACTGATGATAAATGTCATACTATTCTAACGGGAAACTTTTTTCCTTTCTCTTTGAATGCAGTTGTTGTGGAATTACAAACTAAACCTGACTACCGACCCCAAATTTGAATCTGTTGCTAGAGAGGTTTGCAAGTCAACCATATCAGAGGTAGGTGGTAAAAGAGTGTTGTGAATACTTACGACTTAGAAGAGAAAATTAACATCTCTTGACTCGACCAGTCATTAGGAGACGAATGACTCAGATATTTTACTTTTCTTGGAATTTCCATCTGTCTTGGTTGCGAGGTAGGAAGAGGGTGTAATTAGACTTCTTTTGTTAACAGCGCCCACACTGACAGTGGGATGCTGTTGACCGGGACAGTTCAAAATCAGGTTCTGTTGCTCCCTGCACATCCTGTGCACCTGCCATGCCTGAGGCAAATCCAGAACTGTTTCCCCAGGAGGCTTACAGGCATTCCTTCGTGTTCTGGCTTGGGTCAATTGAGCCACATAGGTATATGCTTCAAATAATAGGAGTTAGTGCTAGAAAGGTTCTGGGTAGTCACATTCATACAGTTATAAATGGATACTGAGAATAAAGACAAAAACAGTTAATAAAAATGGATAGCACTATACAGATACTAATGGGAGAATTTTTTGGGTTATTTATCTGGCTTAATGTAAAGAATAAATGATATTAATGAAAATTATGGGTTGTTTTTGGGTGGGGGGAGATAGGGTCTCACTGTGTAGTTCAGGCTGACCTTGAACTTTCTATGTAGCCCAGGCTGGCCTTGAACTTGCAGCAGTCCTTCTTCCTCAGCCTCCCTAGTGCTAGGATTATAGTCATGGACCACCTCACTGGACTGAAAATTGTGGTATTTGAAGTTGCTTTTTTGGGGGAGAGGGTCTGATCAGTAATGGAAACCCCAGATAGCCTTAAGTTTTTGCACACTTAAATATGAAAATTATGGAAAAAAATGCTATTTTTCTACTCGTTATAGTCACTGTTACTTGCAATATATTAATCTGTCCTTCAGTTGAGACTATTGATGACATAAGTCAGAGCCGCTTCTTCCAGGGCCTGAAGGAAGACCCTGTCCCATCCAGGAGACCCCTTAGCTTGTGTTGCCTGTCTGTGTCATTTCTGGGTCTGGTGGAACCTAGCAGTACTAGGCCCTCCAGTACTCAATCAGACGTGCTTTAGTCTTTAAACACTACACCCCTCCATATTTGAGGCTTTGGAACCCAGAAGAGTATGTTTTTGTTTGTTTCCAATTGATCTTTGGCTTCTGGCTTTAATATTCTACATCTTAAACTCCTTTAGCTGGCTATATGATTAAACCTCCAACTAGAAAATCTCAAGAGGAAAAGTGATTACTTAATAATAGAAAGAAATACCAACAAAGAAACAATTCCAGGCTTGAACTGTAAATGTGTGCATATTCTCACTTCATTATGGAACTATTCGTTATAAGTAGGGGGATGGGGATGTAGCCCAGTGGTACAGCACCTGCCTAGTCAGCGCAAGGCCCTGGGTTTAACCCTCAGTACTGAAAAAGAAAAAAAAGGTAAATAGGTTGCTTTTTGCGGGGAGGGGCACATTAGACTATATATACATATTTGTTTTGCCCCATTTCATATCAGCATTATGTAGCATGGGTTTGACCGCCATGTGAAAATTTAATTCAGAGTATATACATATCCCTCATGATAATTTCACTCCTCGCATTAGGCTGTCTTCCTCATGTGACTAGTGACCTTTTGTGGTGACCTTGTGTGACCTTTTGTGGTGTTACAGTTTTGTAAAAATCCAAGTAAGAAGGACACTTCTCTCTCCCTATAAAGAGATTATACAGGAGTCAGGGAAATTAAGTACTGTATCAGGAAGAACATAGTTGTCAGAATATCTTTTATTCTATGTTACCTTTCTGTTATTGTTGTTAAGTTTGGGAATGCTATTTTCATGGAGAAAAGGAACGTCACAGGGTACTTGCAAAACAAACTTATTTACGCTCCGCAATTGAGCTAAATACTCAAGCATTTTTTACTACACCCCATGAATGAGCTCCCCAGCCTCTGCACTTGCCTGTCGGTCTGTCTCTCTCTCCTGACGCGTGAACTTACAGCCTAGTACATGCTAGGTGCAAACTGTATCACACTTTGATGTTTTAATACTGATTTTGTCTTTGTGGTCCTGGGCCCTGAACCCAGCGCCTTCACGCTGAGCTAAGTGAGGGCACTGAGTCCTTTTCTATTATTTAAGACAGAGTCTGGCTAAGTTGCCCAGGAAAGACTTGAACTGGTGATCCTTCTGCCTGAGCCCCAGGTGCTGGGAGTGGAGATGTCTCCACAGCTCCCAGTTTATGCTGTTTTTGCTGGTAGTCTTAGTGTCACTGAAGGAAAGTATTATCCAGCAGAATGGTTGAAACTTCTTATTCAAACCCTATTCCCTATTGTCATTGGTGGTAAGCTGAGATGCGGATGTGTACTACCTCTCCACATTTCAGGAAAATCTTAAGTAATTAAAACTAAATATATGTTTGATTATTATTGAGGCTCTCGTTTTGAAATGTGCTCTTGGTTTTTCTGCAGATTTTTAAACTACTAATGGCCTGGAATTAGGACCTATATGAATACTGCCTTATGCCATTAAGTCCTGAAACTCAGAACTAGTTCTGTATTTAATACAGGATTTTTGCGGTGGTTGCATTGCAAATGCTGAGACTTTTAGGTGACCATTTCCTTTCTCTTCTGAACTTAACACAGTTTTGCTAAACAAATAAATTTAGGGTTACACCCATGGCCCTGTTTTTTACATGTTACAAAAAAGTGTTCAAGATTAAACTGAAAGGATGTTCACCTTGACTATTGAAGATCTCTTCTGCCTCTGAAGCTATAGATTGTTTACTTAAATCCCTAACTTTTCTTCCTTAAAAGTAAATAAAATCTTTTCTTTTAAACGAAGTTTTTGACTTGGTCTGGGTTTGCTTCTGGAGTTAAAGAGACCCAGTTGCCTATCGGATAACTTGGGGAATGATTTATTGCAGTGATGGCTAACTTTTTGAGCTTTCAGTGATACAAATTGCTGTAGGTTTGCCACCACTGAGCTGTTGGTTTTAAAAAACCAGTTAAATCTGAGCATGATGGCACATGCCTATAACTCCAGCACTTGGGAGGCTGAGGCAGGAGCATCGCTGTGATTTCTGAGGCTAGACACAGTGCATTCAAGGCCAGCCAGAACTACATAGTGACACCCTGTCTAAAAAAAGAAAAAGTGTTGTTTTATATGAGCACAGAGTACTCGTAACACAGCCACTTTGTTCTGAACAGATTAAGGAATGTGCTGATGAACCGCTTGGGAAAGGGTACGTGGTTTCCTGCCTGGTGGACCACCGAGGCAACATCACTGAGTACCAGTGTCACCAGTACATCACCAAGATGACGGCCATCATTTTCAGCGATTACCGCTTGATATGCGGCTTCATGGATGACTGCAAAAATGACATCAACACTCTGAAATGCGGCAGCATTCGGCTTGGTGAAAAGGTATCCATCACTTTAGCTTCACCAGAGGGAACCTGTGAACTCAGTAGATGAAAACCATGGGACAATTCACAGGAGACAAACTTCAGGACTGGCAGTGACCTCAAAGTTGAAAACCTTGCCCAGGGACCTACAGGCTCTGAAACCAGTTAGCCTGTGACTGGATTTCATGTGTTGGTAACAAAATGTTTTGGCATTGTATGGGGAAGTGGAGGGATTAATATCTGCTTATTGGGTTAATAACCCTTAGTTATTGCAGGCTGATCAGGCCCGCAATCCCCCAAATGAGTGGATGGCAAAGGTGTAAATAAATGAGACAATCGAAATGATTTCAGGGCTCCAGGAGGGTCTGATTCTCTTACAGCATTCTATATTCTCTGGGTTTAGACAAAGACTTCTCTGGCAGCCCGTATTTATTAAGTTTTCAAACAAAGGAGGAGGATACTCAAGAAAACATGGGAATCTAGCAGGTCCTTGGGAAATATTTTCCCAAGTGGTGAATTATGTCAAAGAGAACCTTATCTTTAGGTTGGTATTTATTGTAGGAATGTGGAGCCTGCAGCTGCCGTCTCTTTGTAGTTAAATGGGGGTTGGAGCCAGATGTCCTCGGCTGTGGCCTTATCTTGTCCTTTGAGGCGTCACAGCTTCACAGGCCAATACAGGCCTCAGCGGTAACCAGTGACTCGCAGAGGTTACGTAGTATGAGTCCACTGCCCATCTCCAGACAAGTGCCTAAGCTTCAGACAAGTAAAGACGGAAAGCCAATTGGTTAATATTAAATCCTGCTCAGAGCCACTTTGTAGTGGCCTCCAACATCAGCTCAGGATAGTATTACTGGGATGGTGGTATGCACCTGTAATCCCACCTGCTTGGAAGGCTGAGGCAGGAGGACTGCAAATTCAAGGCCAGCCTGGGCAACTTAATGAGATTCTTTCTCAAAATAAAAAAAACAGATAAAAAAGGCTGGAATATTGCTCAGTGGTAGAGTACCCTGGGTTCGATCTGTAGTGTGGCAAAAAAACAAAAACCAAAATATTGCTTATAGTGCACCTCTAGCAAAGGGGAGGCCTGAGTTCTCTAGTCTTTCTCTTCATGTTTACCATTAAAAAGTTACTGAGCAGACACACTGGTTCATCTCCATCTGTAAAGGGAGATACTTGAATATTAGAAAGCTCTAACATATGTGAAGGTGTTTTTAACTTATCAGAACAAAGGTGCTCTGTAATTGTGATATATTCGCTTCATCCCAGAATTGATTATAGTAGGTACAGAAAATAACTCACTAGCTAGTTTCTTCCTCCTTAGTTATAGCTGTTTTCCGTTTGAAATTCCTAGCCTGGCAAACAGAAGGTCCCAATGGAGGATTGGCCAGGTTTATCCTGAATTTGTTTCGCAGCAAAAATGAAAGAAACTCTTGAAAAATAATGAATGCCAGTGGGAGAAGGGAGAGGTGGTCTGAGACCTCTGGCATCAGCTTTTAGTTGCTGCTGCTTATTAATCTGTTGTTGAGGGCATAGGATTGAAAATAAAACCTCTCTCTCCATGTCTGTTTCTCTATCTCTCTCTAATTCTCTACCTTTATTTCTTCCTCTTTACTAGGGATTGCACCCCAGGCCTTCACACTGAGCTACGTCTCCCAGTCCCTTCATTTTTTGAGACAGTGTCGCTTAAGTCTCTCAGGCTGGGGACTTGAACCGCTCCCTCCTGCCGCAGCCTCCCGGAGTGCTGGGGCTCCAGGTGTGCACCGTCACAGCAGCGAGCGCCTCTGTTTGTGTTTGTGGTCTGCAGGTGTTTACAAAGGGAGTGTGGTGTTAGGATATCGTAACTGAGGACAGTGGCTCGCATGAAGGTTTAGTGTGGGTTTTGTCTGGCTGTCACCAAACCCTGGTGCCCTGTGTTTTCTATCAGCACAGGGCCCTGTCCCCCTCAGATAACTCAGTCATCCAGTACTGGAAAAAACAAAACAAAACAAAACAAAAGGTAACTCAGTCATCTTGAAAGCTCTGTAACCTTGGCGTAAAGCTTTCAGACAGCTGAAGAAAGGTCAGTTTCAATAAGGACCGATTTTTTTTCCTTCCTAGAAGGCTCTAGAAATGACACAAAAGCCTTAAGTCACCCTGAAGATTCAGGAAGCTCCTCTGACTTCATGTGGGGTGGTGGAGATTACATCCAGTTCCAGACCTTACCTCTTTGAAAATCTCCATTGTGTTTTAGTCATACTTTTGAGGAATTAGCAATGACACTTTTTTGCATTTGTGATCCTTGGTCACAGGGTCGAGTAGACTGTTACCATCCCCTGTTCTTTATAGTAGCTCTTGCCTTTGACATCAAGGTAACAGCTAATTAGCTTCCTCCAGCTCTCAGATTCTTAAAATAAAACACACTTTCAACTGCATATACAAGTTCTAGGTCTGCAGTGGGTTGAATTAGCAGCAGGAAGTAGTACTGCTGGAGTCGAGGGCTATGACAGAATTGTTGATTCAGGGTTTTTGCTCTGTTTCGTTTTTGCTGCTGTTACTGTTTGAGACAGAGTCTTACTATGTAGCCCAGGCTGACATCAGATCCTAGATCCTGCTGCCGCCTCCCAAGTCCTGGGATATAGGCATGCACGGAGTTCATTCACCTTTGATAAAATAACAAAAAATGTTTGTATGGAACACCAGTGCACCTCTCGGTCGTTTCTGTCTCTTGGTGTGCCTACCAGTTCCGTTTTTACCAGTGCTCCACCCTCATATCAAGGGTTTTTTTGTATTTAGGGGACGGAGATGGGCTTGTGTCTGTGCTCCTGCCTCACAGAGAAAGTGTCTCCCTGTGCAGTCTCTTCTGGGGCTGCAGCCACATTTAATGCAAGGGAGCTCTCAGCACTTCCTTGCTTTTTCTAACTGCGGCTTGCTTCTCCAAAGTCAGTTACCTGTACAACAACTGTATGGCTTCTGACCACAGAGGAGATAGGCTCATTAATCTCAAATTTGCTGCCGCTGAAACATGAAAACACCTCCTCCAGAGGTGAGAAGGAAGGCTTGTGGTTGATCTGTTTGTGCCGTGTCTGTATGAAGACATAAATGTCCTGATTTAACACTATAGTAGCTGAGCATAATGGTGCACGCCTGTCATCTCAGCACTCAGGAGGCAGAGGCAGGAGGATTGCTGTGAGTTCGAGGTCAGCCTGGGCTACACAATGAGTTCAAGGCCAGCCTGCCCAGCTCTGGAGAGGCTAAGGGGAAAGGATCATGTGTTCTCCATAGTTTAGGACCCTGTCTCAAACAAAACAAAGCAAAAGAAACAGTAGAAGAGCAGTTTCAGTTTCCAAAAGTAGAAGTATAAATGATTTACATCAGTTGAAGAAAAAATAGGTGTGGCCTCAAAAGGAACTAATCGTGGACCTGTATGTACCATAGGATCATTACTTTTATATGTTTAATAATTTTTATTATTCCTTACTTTTAGCCAATTACTTTGAGTAATTTAGACATTCTCTTTCTGTCAAAGTAGATTATAGCAGACACCAGAGACATCAAAATAAAATGGTTTCTAGCAGAGGTGAAAGCTGGGTTCTTGCCTACTATTTTGAGATTAGTATTCTCCTCTGTGGGTTTTCTGTGTTAGTTTTTTAAAGACAAAGAATATGAGGGAAAAAAATTAAGTCAGACTTCTAAAACCTGACTAAGATACTGGCAGTACTTTTCAAGTAGACATTTTAAAACTTTAATACAAATATATTGTGGGTTGAGGATATAACTCAGTTGTAGAGTGCTTGTCTGGCATATGCAAGGCCTTGGATTCAATCCCTAGCACCCGCCCCATTAAGTCCATTTACAGGGTTATTTGTTATTCATATCTCAAGTCAGCATATTACTAATCAGACTTTTCTAATGTAATTTTATTTGCCCATAGATAACGTGTAGGTATGTGGGTTACCTCACTTTCATTCCCCTTTGATATTTAGCCCTGTAGTCTTCATTGTGAAACGTTCGTACATATTTAGTTATATAACTAAAATGGGTCAGCCGAGCATGGTGGTGCACCCCTGTAATCCCAGCACTCAGGAGGCTGAGGCAGGAGGATCATTGTGAATTCAAGGCCAGCCTGGGCTGCAAAGTGAGCTAAAGGCAGCATGAACTGCATAGGGAGACCCTGTCTCAAAAAGACCAAAAAAGAGGTAAACCAAATGTCTCAGAGACTCTAGGGCAATTCCTGAACTATCTTTATTTGAAAATAATTATCTATTTGAAATACACAATGAAAAGATTTAGTGGAAATGATGTTGTGACCTAATGCCTCTGTGAAGTGTTGCAATTGCTATAATTAAAATCAGATGCCTTAAATCTAATAAGCAAATGGAGCCATTAAGAAACATAATATCCTAAATATTTAATCTTTCTGATGGCATGTTTAAGCAATTATAAACCCTAAATATACAGGGGAACACTTAGCAGACTCGTTACATGGAAATCATTTCCTTACCTTTTATAAAATGCTAGGATTGAAGGTTGAGCTTCAATCAAGAATTGACTATCTTGTTGTTGTTTTTAACCACCTTTTGATGTTTTATGACACTGATTTTCGGTATGATCTAGTCTCTCAGATCTTACGATGAGAAAATGCATCTTTTCTTTTGATTCTTACAGCCAAAAATGTGATTCTGTAGGCTTTGTATACATTATTATATGTGATTAAGGTTTAAAGTTTTAAAAATTAGAAGAAGAAATTTAATCTTAAGTTTTTGTGAGCTACTAAAATTTGGACTAGGGTGCTGTTATAATGTTTATAGTGGTCACTAGCATACTGTGACTGATAAGTGATTGTGATGCTTCTGTCCACTCCTTTATCTTTGACTTGTTTCTTTGGGAGATATATATGTGTAGGCCTTGTGGTGCTCATAAATTCGGAAGAAAAAAGTAAGTCTTACTCCAACTTTCTGGGCTGCCAACTTTTCTCACTGTCCTTATTTTGTTGTTGGTCATCCCTCAGTTTCATTATCTGTTCCGAATTTCTCTCCCGAAGCACTCTGGTCTTCCCATTTCTAATCACTGGATCAGCTCCTGTACCTAGTGCAAAAGGCCCAGGCCCCGCTAGACTAGGAAGGTCTGAGACTCTGCTAGCGCAGCATGCCTCTATCACTTTTGGGTCAGCAAGCCTTGTGAAAACTCAAAACTGTGAACCCTCCTTAGAAAAATATACAAAACCCCATATAAAATTTAGAAGTTTCATAGACCCCACCCACACACCCACCCAAGTGAAACCGGTACCAGAAGAATAAATGATAGACCATCATCTATTTCACATTCTGCAGCATGGCTGTGTAATTCCTGAGCTTCTCTATTTGCCTTGCACAATAGATACCACAGCTTTCTGCTGCTTCTTCCTAGGTTGGTGAAGGAGGACATGAACATTTGCATGAGCACCTGAAGTTAATGTTCTATAGAACCAGTTCAGTTACAGTAAGATGGGAAATACACATGTTCACTGAAATTTTGCCAGAAGTGCATGCCTTCCTGCCTGGCTTTAGGAATCCTTTTTTGGTCCTGGGAATCAGACTCAGGACCTTGCAGTTGCCAGCCAGGCGCTGTGCCACTGAGCTATATCCCCAGCTCTAAGAATCTTTTTACTATATGCTGATGGTTTCATAGATTAATATTCTACTAGAACAGTATTTCATGTGCATATAAATAGTACCATTATATTTTCAGATGTTTTGGTTTTTGTATATTAATGTTTATACTTCACATTGTTGTAACATATCTTATGAGTATAGAAGTTTAGGACACTTAAAACTAGGGGAGCTTTGTTCTGGTACACACTAATGCATGTTTGTGGTTGCTATAGGATGATGCAGTGTACAATTACAGGTAATTGGATGGTATTGGAAAAACTTATAGAAGCAGTTTGTATAGATAGTGGTAGTTCTTTGTTGTTTTTTTGAGGTGGTCTCACTATGTAATTTAGGCTGGCCTCAAACGTGCAGAGGTCCTCCTGCCTCAGCCTAGTGACTGCCGGGATTACAGGTGTGTGCCAGTAATAGTCTTATTCAATCATGTTCAGATCAGTTCAGAACATCAAAGTATTCCACTCCAGCTGGTATATACTGGAGAGTTTGAGGACAATACAGAGTAGAAAAAGGACACAGGAGTCTTTATAATGTCCTTTCTCAGGGGACTTTGAGGGGCTCGGGATATAGCTCAATGGCATAAGCACTTGCCTGGCAATCCTGAGGTCATGAATTTGATTCCCGGTACCAAAAAAAAAAAAAAAAAACAATGGACTTAGGGGCTTGTTTTGGGTATCTCACTTTTAAATTACTTTTTGGTACTGGGAATTGAACCTATGACCTTGCTCATGCTAATAAGCACATGCTGTACCACTGAGCTACATCCCCCAGCCGGGTTTGTTGGTTTCTTTTTTTTTTTTTTTGGTTTTTCTCTGGTACCGGGAACCGAACTCACGACCTTGCGCTTGCCAGGCAGGCGCTTTTGCCGCTGAGCTAAATCCCCAGCCCCTGTTGGTTTCTTTTTAACATGACTGAAAGCACTAGTTAGGAAATGCCTCGCTCTTAAAGGTAAATGTAGAGAGATCTGTGCAGTGTTACCTCACCACTGACATGACTTGTGATCAGAGCACTGAGCTGATGTCATTTCTTAAGAATTTTCTGACATTTAAGCTTTAAAAATTCGGCTTCTTTCTTCTGCTGCTAACCTATACTCAAAATTCCCATGATCTTTGTTTCATTTGTAGCATATGGCAGGTAAATTCTAAGAAAAGATTATGGAGACCATTTTCTTTAACTTTTTCTCTTCCACGAGTGCTTGATTCTCATTTGATTTCTCAGTGGAACATCAATAAGCTAACAGTGTGTTGGGGTTTTTTTTCCTCACAGTGATGTTTATTTGACATCCATGTGGTAAGGGTTGTGAAGTATTCGTGCCCTTGCTCTTCTAGGATGCGCATTCTCAAGGGGAGGTGGTGTCCTGCTTGGAGAAAGGCCTGGTGAAGGAGGCAGAGGAGAAGGAACCCAAGAACCAGGTCTCGGAGCTGTGTAAGAAAGCCATCCTCCGGGTGGCTGAGCTGTCCTCAGACGACTTTCATCTAGACCGACATTTGTACTTCGCCTGCCGCGATGATCGTGAGCGATTTTGTGAAAATGTGAGTCAGCTCAGAAGCTGTTCTTCTTTTCTTCCTTTTCTTTTTAAACATCTTTAATACTCTCTTCCAAAATAACATGAACCATCACAAAGCCTTGCTGTGGAAAAGCCACTGAAATGAAAGTGGAATTGGTCCCAAGATGACAGAAAATAGTATCGGATGCTCAGCCTCGAAGATTTAACATACAGCCAACAGTTGGCTTCTCCAGGCTCTACACATTTTTTTTCCTACTTTATCTCACTTCTCAATTTTAGTTCTTAGAAGTCTATTTTATCTTTAGGAATCTTATTTTACTAGGGAATCCTGTTCTGATTTATTCTGTGGCTAAAACATATACATGGTTTTGACTAACATGAAGAAAACAGCAGGTTTTAACTTTTAAAACCAAACCCTTGATTACATCCTAATGACCGGTGACTCTAGCATAAAGTTGTAAGAAAGGAGACTGACACTTCTCTTGCTTCTCTACCAGTGTGTTAAATAGGAAGTTCCACATAGGATTGTGGACTGTGTACGGCGTAACTACTTAGCAAAGAGTAATAATAATGGGCCAGGGATATAGTCCAGCCGCAGAGCACCTGCCTGGCAAGTGCAAGTCCTGAGTTCAATTCCTGGTATCAGAATAAAGAGTAATAACGGTATGTATGTTTCCTCTTACAGACACAAGCTGGTGAAGGCAGAGTGTATAAATGCCTCTTTAACCATAAATTTGAAGAATCCATGAGTGAAAAGGTATTTCTTTGAGCCAAGTTAATATTTTATTAATTTCTTAAAAGTTTTCACAAATCTCTTTACAGTTGTCTCACAGTGTCTACAACGACTTGATTCTAGGACTCTCCATAGATACCAAAATTCAAGAGTGCTCAAGTTCCTTGTGTAAAATGGCACAGTTTTTACGTATAATCTATGTACATTGAATGTCACATGTACTTTGTCATCTCTAAAGTACTTATAATACCTAATAATATAATGTAAATGTTGTTTAAATAGTCGGTATACTGTACTATTTAGGGAATAATGATAAAGACAAAAATCTGTTTTAGTACACGTTTTCTTCCCCATAAATATTTTTAATCTGCAGATGCAGAGGTTGACTGTGCCAATATAAATGACTGAGAAAAAGCAGTACTTTTTCAGAGATAAGATTCTTAGGTTTAAGTAGAGAACCAAAACATACTTGTCTGATGAAAGTATGAAATGGCACATCTCAAGTGTCCATACCATCTGTCAGTTTGATTCTGGTGAAATTCATACTAGGGATATGACTGAAGAGAAAAAGACTGCTTTGTGTCAAGATAGTGCGTTAGGTCCACAGAACATTTATGTGTTTAGAACAGCTGCTCTTGCAGCATCAGTCAGGTTCCCATCCATGTCCTCCTACCCATTCCCACACTACTTTAGCACAGTTGTGCTGATTTTTTTTTTTTTTTTGAGGCTAAGAGTAGGAAGATTGCTGGGTGTGTTGGCACATGCCTGTAGTCCCAGCACTTGGGAGGCTGAGGCAGGAGGATTGCTGCAGGTTCAAGACCAGCCTGGGCTACAAAGTGAATCCAGGCCAGCTTGAACTACACAGCAAGACACTGTCTCAAAAAAAAAAGTAGGAAAATTTTCTGTACAATAGGAATAGGGGGGGCTAGGGATTTAGCTTAGCGGCAAAAGCGCCTGCCTGGCAAGCGCAAGGTCGTGAGTTCGGTTCCCGGTACCGGAGAAAAACCAAAAAAAAAAAATAGGAATAGGGCATAGGAATAGCTCCTGAGAAACAAAGGGTCCTGAATGGGTTGCCTGCTTGTGCTGAATTTTAACTGAACTTGCAACAAGGCACACTGGCAGCAGCCACCGTTGTTGAGGTGCGCTTGTCTCAGAGGCACACACGTGATCATGCGAGCGGTCTACAGCTGTCTCATCGTCCTCTCTCCTCAGTGTCGAGAAGCACTGACTACCCGCCAGAAGCTGATTGCACAGGATTATAAAGTCAGTTACTCACTGGCCAAGTCCTGTAAGAGTGACCTGAAGAAATACCGGTGCAACGTGGAAAACCTTCCCCGGTCGCGGGAAGCCCGGCTGTCCTACCTGCTCATGTGCCTGGAGTCGGCGGTGCACCGAGGTGAGGCCTTGTGGCTCTCCTTCACCTCACTCCTTTGTGGTTCACGCTCTGACGCTTTCTGTACCTTCAAATGTCAGTTTCCGCCTGTGCTTCCTCTGCTGAGTAGATTTAATTTGTAAGATGCATATTATGCAGCATCGTTAAGAGGTGAGGTAACACAGTTTAGCACATCAGCTTTGGGGCAGAGAGACTTGGCTTCGAAGTAGGACTCTAGCACTGAACTAACTGGCTGGGGGACCATTTTTTATGGTTTTGCTTATTTGTTTTAGTCTCTCTTAAGTTTTCCTGGTTGGCATTTATAGCTTAAAGAAACTGAGACATAAAGTGATTATTTGAAGTGTAGTCTTTTCCACAGGCTTTAAGTGCGAGTAGGCCAATAGGGATTGTTCTTTTTGGCTTTCATTTTACCCCCATGTTCCTACTGATGATTTCTGGGCCAGGTGAGGTGTCGCATGCCTGTAATCCCAGCACTTGGGAGGCTGAGGCAGGAGGATCACTGAGCTTGAGGCCCGCCTGGGCTATATAGTGAGTTCAAGCCCAACCTGAACGGCACAGTGAGACCCTGTCTCAAATAAAAGATTTCTTGGTGGGCTGAGGATGTAGCTCATTGTTTGAATGTGTGCTTAGCATGCATGAGGCACTGAATTTAATCCCCAGAACAACCGCCCCCCCAAAAAAACTTCTAGTAGCAAAAATTTTCATTATTAGTTTAGTAAGAGTATAAAATCTGAGCCAGGTGTTGTGATCATCATGCCTGTGATCCCAGCACTCGGGAGGCTGAGGCAAGAGGATTGCTGCGAGTTTGAGACCAGCCTGGGTTACAAAGTGAGCTTAAGACCAGCCTGAGCTGCATAGCAAAACCCTGTCTCAAAAAGACAAAAAAAGTATAAAATTGTATAATGCAGAACCTTGGCAGGATAAACCTGAGTTTGGAGTTTAAGCCCACTTTGTGCTGCAAAGACTTCTGCCAGGTGCTAAGCCTTTCAGCTGAAACATTAACATTCCAGACAGAAGTGGATGCTTTTATCCTTGTTCTCGCCTCCTAATAGTGTGACTTCCACCCTACCTCAGGGCGACAGGTGAGCAGTGAGTGCCAAGGGGAGATGCTGGATTACCGGCGCATGCTGATGGAGGACTTCTCCTTGAGCCCCGAGATCATCCTGAGCTGTCGGGGGGAGATTGAACACCACTGTTCTGGCCTGCATCGGAAAGGGCGAACCCTGCACTGTCTGATGAAAGTCGTTCGAGGGGAGAAGGGGAACCTCGGGATGAACTGCCAGCAGGCGGTAAGGAAAATGTTCTGCTACTACCTTGACTGTCACTTTTTTTGAGACAGGGTCTCACTGTGTAGCTCAAGCTGGTCTTGAGCTCACTGTGTAGCCCTGGCTGGCTTTGAACTCTGTCCTGCCTCAGGCCATAGAGCTGGGATTATAGGTGTGTGCCACCACATCCCCCTCGACTGTCATTTTACCAGCTAAGAGGCTTCCTCCTGAAACTATTCCAGCCTCCCTTCTCTGAATTGTTGAAGATTAGGTACTAAGGAGCAGGTAGGATATTGTTTCTTTGAGCATACATTAGTAAAATGTGGAATTTGCTGCAGATCAAAAGTTTGCACTCGTAATCAATAAAAAGAGCTGCATAATTAGGTGGAGAAAAATTCATTGTTTACTGGAGTTTTAAGAAGGGATAACTTACCAAATTGACATTATGAACCTGAGAATTAAGGCTAACCAGGTTCTAATAAATCAGGAAAAGTCCTTCACCAGATGAGAATTGTCTGTTTTAATTGGTTTCACTGAGCTGAGGCTGAAGAGAGTTTACATAGATTCAAATTTTCCAGAAGTTCTTTTAGTGCTGATGTGCAGCGTGACCTGAAGGATAAAGAAGCACGTCATTTTCTCTTTTTGGTTGGTTTGTCTTTTGTTTCTTGAGACAGGGTCTTGCTATATATACTCACTGTCCCCTAAACTCACTATGCAGCCCTAGCTGGCCTCGAACTCACGGTGGTCCTGACAAGAGTAGACTGTAGTGTACATAATGTTACACGTGCACACGTGCACACCACCGTGGTGGGGACAGTGGAGAGATGTGGCCTCTCCTAAAACTCCCAGCCCAGCTGAAAGGAAGCCTTCCAGACCTGCTGTGGTTCGAATTTGTCACAGTGTCACTTCTCGCGAGCAGCCCTGGCTGCAGAACACACTAGGAAATTTCCGTGCCGGCAAATGTGCCTGGGCTCCGGACCAAGACCGAGTCAGTAGCCAGCGTGTGCTGTGCTTGCCTCTTCTCCTTGACTCAGCCCAGGAATACTGTGGGAGGGAGGTCAGGAATAAACCTGTCTTTTTACTCAGCCTACACCTGTAGTAAAATGTACAGAAAGAAGAAAATAGACCAGTTTGACTTTATTTTGAGGCATCTCGTTCACTCCCAAGGCTTTTTAAAATTTAGCTTTTTGAAAGAACAAGTGACTCAACCTGAAAGATAAATAGATAGCGCCCACATCACCCTTTGTGCCCAGAAGGAAGTGCTTTCCAGACCTCGAGGACAGCCGCGAATAGTGAACTGTGCGGCTCTGTCTGCACCGAGATGACCCGGTAGGAAATGAACGCCTCCTTATGAGCCGTTGCTTTAGCTTTCACGCCAAAACAAGGCGTTTCTCCAAAGGGAGAAATGTGTCCTTAGTTATTGTGTTCTGTATTATTAACCCTTGATCAAATGGAGGAATGTTTTGAAATAATTTATTTTGAGTAGGTTTCTTTCTTATTTTCAAAGTTTTCTTCTTCGATAAAAGTAGACTTCAGTACCTGTCTGTGATTTACCTTTAATTTTCTCTGTTCTCTGCTGAATTGATTTATTGATCCGCTTTGTTCTTTTATTTGTTTTTGTTTTTTGTCTTTTTGACACAGGGTCTTGCTACGCAGTTCAGGCTTGCCTTGAACTCATTTTGTAACCCAGGCTGGCAGTGATTCTCCTGCCTCAGCCTCCCATGTGCCGGGATTACAGGCGTGCACTATCACACCTTTAATCTAGTGATCTGCTTTGGTTTAGCGATCTCTCATCAAATAGTAAACTGGAAAACATAAGGATAATTATCTTCTGCGCACATACTTTTCCAATCACAATCATGAACTAATAAGTTCTCTTCAGTTATGACCAAATGAATTCAGCCCAATCATTCCCTGGCCTAATCATTTCTCCAAAGCTTTCTCCAGAGCTTGCTGAGTGTATGAGGGGCTAAAATAGATGCACAGTCTTCTGGCAGTTCACCTTCTTTGTGTGCATTTCCCACACTCTTGCCACCGCACCCCAGAGTGGCAGTGATCCCTGGAGCCCTTATTCTACTCGGCTGTATTTTCTTCTGTTACTACTAGCTGCAGTCCAGAGCAGTCAGCGTGAGTTCTCAGCACTGGCCCGTCAGCCAGGGAGACGCAACTGACACAGTCCTTGCACAGACCCCAAGACTCTTGTTTTGCCCTTCGCTGTCCTCAGAAAAGATGTAGCTATTTTGATATTTGTCGCCTAGTGTCATAGGTCACATTGACACTTACAAAATAGTCTTCCTACCAACTAACCACAGCATTTTGTAGTTTCTTCAGTTTGCCAAGAATCAGTACAGGGAACTTCCATCCCATAATACTAGAAATCTTAACTTCCTCTTTTGATTATTGGCTTCTTTTGGAAATCATCATAAAATTGGGAGGCCCAGTGTGGTGGCACATGCTTTGTAATCCCAGCACTGAGGAGGCTGAGGCAGGAGGATCGTTGCAAGTTCAAGATCAGCCTGGGCTACAAAGTGAGCTCAAGGCTAGCCTGAACTGTATAGCGAGACCCTGTCTAAAAAAGACCAAAAAAAAAAAAAAAGAAAAAAAAAGAATGGGGTCGGTGCTTGCGTTCCTTCACATGAGCCCTGTGGGAACGGCAGGTCAGATGCTGCAGATCAGAGAAGGCTCCCCGAGGATAAGCCAGTGATACAAAAAGGACCCCAGTTCTTTAGCGTGGCAAAAAAGAGCTCAAATCAGTGAGTATTATAGCTTTCAAGTTTTCTTTCTCACATTTCAGATTCCCACCCCAAAACACCATCTGCCACCCATCTGTAGTAATAATGATCTTTTGTCCATAAGATGCTTTGCCATTTGCCCAGTCTTTCTTATGTAGTATTGTTTCTTGTAATCTGTACTTTAGGAACTGAAATTTAGAGAGGTCAGTCAACTTGTCTGTGTTCCTAAAGCTAATACCAGGCAGAGGTGAACCATTAATAGAACTTGGACTTTCTGACCTTTAATTTAGAACTTTCCCTCTGTGCCTCAGATACCAAATGGCTTCTCAAAGACAAGAGACTCCAAGGCACCTTTTCTCCTGCATTTTTTTCCTGTTTGTGGTTTTGTTTTTTTGAATCAGGGTCTCACTATTTAACCTAGGCTGGCCTTGAACTTGTAGCAGTCCTCTTGCCTCAACCTCCCAATTGCTGGGATTCCAGGTGTATGCCACTTCGCCTATTCACCTGCCTCTTTTTTTTTTTTAATTTCATGGCAGAGGATGGACTAAGGAAAAGTACATGATAAAGACTGTATCTTTATCATAATCCCAGCACTGAGAAGTGCTGTAATCCCAGCACTGAGAAGGCTGAGGCAGGAGAGTCCCCATGAGTTCAAGGCCAGCATGGGCTACATAGTGAGAATCCTGTCTTTAAAAAAAAACTACTGCATCCTCAACTAAATGGATGGTGCATGCCTGTAATCCTACTACTTGGGAGGTTGAAGCAGGAATATTGCAAGTTTAAGCCACACCTGGGCAATTTAATGAGACCTGGTTTGAAAAGAATAAAAAGGGCTGGGAGTTACTTCAGTGGCGGAGCACCTGTAGGTTTGATCCTAGGTACCACAAAAGATAAGTGTATGTACCCTTAATTTTAGTTTCATAATATTAGGCAAACATTTTTCTGTATAGTTACAATGCACAAGCTGTGACTTACCTCTTGGCTGTATAAAAATAGGCAAGTACAAGTACAGTGGGCCCTCGATACGATCGGTGTGACATCTGAACAACTTGGGTTATGAGACCTGCATTTTAGTTTGAACTTAGGATAAAAGCCTTGCGTTGCGACCCCAATGTCAGCCTCTTGTGCTTCCACCTGGTCTCAGATACAGACGTAACCCCTCACGAGCTCTGGAAGGAACAGTACAACATCCGTTTCTGTATGGGGCTCATTGAGAAATCCTGGGCCGCTGTCTCCCTAAGGACACAGGTCTGCCTGTGTGCAGGAGGGAGACTTGGAAGGCCATGTGGAGGAGCCCAAGCCTTTGCCTGACGACTTGAGTTACAACCAGCCTTGGTACAAATTCAGTTCGTAAGTCAAGAGTCCGCTGTATTCCTGTTTCCAAGCTGTTTCTGCAAGTTCAGAGAAATCTTGTACATCTGCTTCTAGTAAAGCAGAATACACTTTTGTTTTTATTTTTTTGCAGTACTGGAGGTTAAACACAGAGGTGCTCTATCACTGAACTATATTCCTGCCCCATTCATTTTTTAAAAGTTTTGAGACGGTCTCAATAAATTGTCCAGGCTGATCTTGAACTGGCAATCTTCTTGTCAGTTCAGCTTCCTGAGCAGCTGGTTTTGCGCATGTGCACCACCACTCCACGCTGAGTACATTTCTTTTAATACCAGTGTCATCGCAGAGAAATTAATCATTTCTAGGACCAAATCAGGTCTCTGACAAGAGCTGTGTAGTTTCTTGTTTTCAGTGCTCAGGATCAAAGCCAGGGCCTCACTCATGCAGGCCACTGAGCAGGATCCCTGACCCAAGGAATGCACTTTTCCTCCAGTGCATTCTGGCTTTCCCCTGAGCGCCAGGTTTCGTAATCTGATTAACGAGTGTACAGAGAAGAGGAAGGAGAGCGGCCGCACAGTTACCTTGTGAGGATCCGTCGTTTCTCAGCTGCGCAGGCCCGGCTCGGGACTGTAGATGAGCCGTCTCCACGGTGACTTACTCGAAACATCAGCTAGGTGGAGAAGCCAGTGGGAACGAACTTGGCAGGAGTTGCTGGGTTTGGCAGTGATCACTGTGTGCCCTGTTAGACGACACTGCGATGTGCCAGACTGAGAACCCGATGACACTGCTTTTCTGATGTCTGACTTTGTTCTTAATTTTTTTAAAATCCAGCTTCAAACGCTGATTCAGGAGACGGACCCAGGTGCAGATTACCGCATTGACCGTGCGTTGAATGAAGCTTGTGAGTCTGTAATACAGACAGCCTGCAAACACATCCGATCCGGAGACCCAATGTAGGTTATCTTCCTTGTGGTATTCGTCCGTGCTGTGTTGTACTTGGCTGCATGGGAGAGTTCCCCAAAGTGGGTTTTGGGTGGCTTATGTATAACATCGTGAGTGGGATTTTTTTGAGCCGTAAGTTCTACCAGCTTTTGCTAAAACTAGTATTGGAATTCAGACTTCAGATCCGTCTCTGTCTCCTCCCTGTGGCAGAGACACCTAGGCCCAGCAATGTGGTAATGTTTGTTGACAGTGACTGAGCACATGTGGGCCTGTTCCTAAGGTCAGCGAATAACTTCCTCTAACGTAGATGGAACAGGAGGGGAAGTACTGAGGATACATGCACCCGGGCACTGTATACTTTTCATCCTACTAGTATATTAACACATCGTATATATTGGTGACACTATAATCACTAGAAAGTAATTCACTGTCATTGAAAAAGAAAACAAACTGGTAGCTGGTGGGTGTGGTTATGGATAAAACAGAGACTGGACTTGCGTCCACCACGTAGGAAAGCTGAAAAAGGCTATGATAAGCATTTGGTTCTCTTGCATTAGTTTTATTCCACATGATGTAAAAACAGTTCTCAAAACCAGCTTACAAGAAAGAATAGGTTTCCCGTTCTATAAAAATCCTCATAGCCTGCAGCTGGCGGAACCCAGCGGTAAGGGAATGTGGCCCAGGTTGGCATCGTCCTGCTGTGTGAGAGTCCCGCTGCCCCGCTGATTAGAGCGGTGTTCTTCCTTGAAATCTTTCTGCGTGTGGAGGAAAGAACACGCTGGAGACTTAGCATTTCACCAGTGTAAAAGTAACTGCATTGACCAAAAGGTGTGGGGGAAAGAGAAGAAGGGAACTGCTGCAGATTTTTAACAGATTGAAGATACTTTTCAAGTAAATGCAATGTGTGGACCTTTGCTAGATCTAGATTTGAACAAACATATAAAAAGACATGAGGTAATTGGGAAATTTAAAAAATGAACAGGTTATTGCATGATAGTAAGGATTTTTTTTTTTTTTTTTTGGTCTTTTGAAGACAGGGTCTTACTATGCAGTCCAGGTTGGCCTTAAACTAAGCAGCAGTCTTCCTGCCTCAGCCTCCCACATGCTGGGATGACAGACATGTGCCACCACACCTGGCTGTTAAGGATTTTTAAATCTCTTGGTAGTGTAGCAACAGTACTATGTTATATTTCAGAGAAACCTGCTCATATATTTACTAAAGAAATGATATTGGGTCTGAGATTTACTTCTAGTCTCAAACCTTGGCCAAGAGTCTTAGAGGTAAAACAACTTCGGCCCACAGGCTGATAAAGCTATGGGCAGGGAGGTACCCAGTATATCATTCTCACTTTCGTGGGTATGGAAATTTTTTGTGCTAAAGTGTTAAAAATAAAGCAGCTGTGCACAGACTTCGTGTGCTGAGTGGCTCCTAAGTTGATAGAAGACATAATCACTGTCAAGTTCAGTTAATTTAAGTGATTCTCAGAAAATAAATCTGAGTACCCTAAAGCGCTTTTTCTACCAATCACAGGAGATACTATATTAAAGTGAGAATTCTGAATTTATCAACAGAACACCTGTGTCTCCCTCCCTGTCTCTCTTTCTCCCTCCCTCTCCCTCCCTGTCCCTCTCTGTATAATTCCACCTGTCTTGTGGCTAGGATCCTCTCGTGCCTGATGGAACACCTGTACACGGAGAAGATGGTAGAAGACTGTGAGCATCGTCTCCTAGAGCTGCAGTATTTCATCTCCCGAGACTGGAAGTGAGTATTCACTACTGTCCTCCCGTAGTCAGTGTCTCGTCTGTGAGGGGCGGAGGGTGTCTTTTGGTGGTAGGGACTGAACCCAGGGCCTCGCGCTTGCGAAGCATCAGCCCTGCCACTGAGCTCCATCCTACCCAGACCTCTATATTTTGTAACAGTGAGTAGGGAATTATTTTCAAGTTCTGGGATAGCTAACACATGCCTCCTGAGCCCTATCTTACTGCTTCCAGAGCAGGGAGAGCAGTCTCTCAAAGCAGATGCAACCCCATACAGGTCTACTCCAAGCATCCCTGTTCCTCACTACTTGGGAAGTCAGGGTCAAAATGTTTGTGATGCTTGCACACACCTATAATCCCAGCACGTCGGAGACTGAGGCAGGAGGACCACGGTGAGTTGGAGGCCATCCTGGGCTACAGAGTGAGTTCAAGGCCAGCCTGAACTGCACAGTGAGACCCTGTCTCAAAAAGACAAAAAAAACGTTTCTGATGCCACAGACATCTATCTAGAAAGAACGTGGCACCTGTGGGACCAACAGAGACATCTTCAGATACGACTCTAAGAAGATAATAGTGCATACATCTATTGATTTGCACTGGGAATAGGAATTAGCTTTTATTTCTTTAACTATTTAAGGTTATTGAATTTATTCTATCTTGAGAGGTTCTTGTCAATAGATGCAGCTTGATTCTCAAATTCCCTTTTCTCTTCCTGTTAGCAAGAAAAGGGAGAGTGGGTGTGAGGCTCCACTGTAATTCTAGCTTCTCGCAAAGCTGAGGCAGAAGGATTGAAAGTTTGAGGCCAACCTGGGCAACCTAGCAATGCCCAGGATAAAATTTTAAAAGGGCTGGAGTTGTAGCTCAGTGCTCTCTGGGCTCAGTCTCATGTACTGAAGAGAAAAAGAAAAGGAAGAGAGATAAAGGGAGAAAGGAAAGAAGGAGAAGGGAGGAGGGAAGGCAGGTGGGGGTGAACTGGGCAGGTCTCCACTGCAGTCAGAGCCTCTGGTTTATCGTCTGCCTTCCCCTCTGCCTGTGTCTTGTTTCCCTGCTACCTCTAGAGCCATCAGTGCTGCGTCGGACTGCTTAAACCACCGTACTGTGGTCATTAACCTTTGCTGATGATGTAGCCCTCTTTGCCTGCCTGTTTCAGTAGGACAGGATTACCCAGACATTTGACATGTTTTTAGCATTTTCCCTGCAGGTTAGCCCTGGAAAGGACCATAGGACGCTGGGCAGTGTCTGCCTGTGCCTGCTCCACCTGTGCAAACTGAAATAGCAGAGCTCCCGGAGTGTGCTGCCTCAGTACAAACTGCGCAGTCTTCTCTTGCTCCTTCCACCGTGAACAGAAAGTGCTTCATGTGCGGGTCAAGGTGGCATATGCCTAGATATTCCCAGCAGCAGGGGGCTGAGTCAGGAGAATCATAAGATCGAGGCCTGTCTGGGGAACTTAGCAAGACCGTGTCTCAAGAAATAAAAAAGGGCAGGGGATGTACATGCAACCTGGGTTTCATCCCCAGTACCACCAAAAAAAATGACAAATCCTCCACGGTTTTAGTCTACTTATTAAATATCCTCTTTCTTCCCACTAAATAACTGTCTGCAGCAGTTGATAATATCATGTGGGCAGAATTAAGCATCCCAAAGTCTAATCTGGAGAAAAGCAGGCTCATCACCATCCACTGTCCGCAGATTCAAAATTAAATGTCCCATTTTATAACTTGATAAACTTAGTCAGGGAAACTAAAAACTCACTGCCTGACCTTACATGAGATAGGCAGGGGAGTGGCTTTACTAGAGAAAAACTTGAGTAGAAGACTCCATTTATCTTCCTGTCTCCTGAGTTTGTTGAGTTTAGTACATTGGATAGACTTGAACTACATTCATACTTAGCAAAAAGTGCTTAGTCGGCAGGTGTGGTGCATACCTGTAATCCCAGATCTCGGAAAGTTGAGGCAGGAGGATTCCCACAAGGTTAAGGCCAGCCTGGGCTACATAGTGAGTTCAAGCCCAGCCTTAAATATATAGCAAGACTGCTTTTTAAAAGGCAAAACAGCCGGGGATATAGCTCAGTGGCATAAGCCCCTGCCTGGCAATCGCAAGGTCCTGAGTTTGATTTCCAGTACCAAAAAAAAAAAAACCCAAATAGTTAGTAAAAAAAAGTGGTGAACCCTAGTCTTCTCTTTTAGCCCAGCCATGTGAATACTACTTTAATATAGTTAGGTAAGTTAGGTAATTTATGTAGCCAAGATAACGTGAAGGTAGAATGTAAGTCTTTTGTGTGAAAGTTAACAGACTTCTACAGACTGACCCGTGTGTGTCCATTAAGAACAACATTCAGGAGCATACTTCTGTGCCTCTGCCGTCTCCACTCTGCTGTGGGTGATGATCGGCGAGTTACATAAGCCAGCAGCTGTGAAAGCCCTTAGCACCTGTGAGAAGGAAAAGCATAGGAAGTAGCAGCTCTCTTTCCACCTTGCAGGCTCGACCCGGTGCTGTACCGCAAGTGCCAGGGAGATGCTTCGCGGCTGTGCCACACCCACGGTTGGAACGAGACCAGCGAGCTCATGCCCCCCGGCGCCGTGTTCTCCTGTCTGTACCGACACGCCTACCGCACGGAGGAGCAGGGACGGAGGGTATGCCGCAAAGCTGCCCGCTTACTTTCATTTGTTTTTCAGTCGTTTGCTCTGTAGTGTTCTGGTTTCTGTCATCCCAGCAAACTTCTTCAGTGTATTTGGTGGGGAGGGGATTGCACTGGAGTTGTTTCCCCAGCTTCTGCCCATCTGATTGTGTTTTCAGCAGGTGAGTGGAGGAGTATTTCCAGGATTAAGTTACTGAATCGGAATCCCAAGGACAGTTAAATTTTACTGTCTTTACTTAGCCTTAAAGATCCATTGGAAGTTTTAGCCAGGGTCCAGGTGGTTCTCTAGCCCTCTGCCCTTGACAGCTGGACCCGCATGCTCGTGTGGATGCGGCAGCTCTGGCAGAGTGCTACTTAGAGCAGAGACCTCTGTGCGCCGGCGTGTGGACATGGGTCTCTCCTGGTGCTGCCTTCGGATGTGATGTTAGCACGTGCTTGGCACTCCAGCAGCATCGGCCGCCTGCGTCCCCTGCCTTGCTGCTCGCCCTTGCTTTCTGAGAGACCCTGTCCCAAGGCAGAGCTGCGTTTGCCGCAGAAGGCAGCCCTGCTATTGCTTAGCGTTCGTTCACAAACAGCCCTGTGGGCTCAGTCGGAAGGGCTGAGTGGCTCGGACTCAGAAAGGGGAAACTCAAGTAGAAAAACGTTACGTTTTAGTTGCTGCAAGCCTAAACCAGTTTTTATTCTATGCAGGACACGTGGGACTTCAGTACATTTTTCTTCATGTAACGAGCCTGTCAGTAACCCTAGGGGCTCCCATTATTTCTGACATTTGGCTAGTCACAATAGTAGGGCGTTCCTTCTCTTATGAATGAAAAGAGGAATGGGATATTTATTTATTTATTTATGTATTCGTGTATGTGTGGTACTAGGGATTAAACCCAGGGCCTTTGTCCTTTTCTTACTTTTTTATCTTTTTTTTTTTTTTTTTTTTAGTACGGGGAACCGAACTCACGACCTTGCGCTTGCCAGGCAGGCGCTTTGCCGCTGAGCTAAATCCCCAGCCCTACTTTTTTATCTTAAGACATAGTCTCATGAAGTTGCCCAGGCTGGGCTTGAACATGGCAGTTCTCCTACCTCAGCAACCCAGAAGGTTCATATTATGGGCATGTGCCAGAGGCCTGGGTGTGTTAGCTTTTTTTATTTTCTTTTTGAGACAGGGTTCTGGCTAGCTTCAGACTCACAGCAATCCTTCTGCCTCAGCCTCCCAAGGGCTGGGATTACAGGCATGTGCCATCATGCCCGGCCTGCATTCACTTTTAAAAAAATTTAGGCCACATACACCTGTAATCCCAGCCCAGCTTGGCCAACTTAGGGGGCTGGGAATGCAGCTCAGTGCAGAGGCCCAGGATGAGGGTTGGGGGTTAAAAAAATTTAGATGACATTCTCATAACATAAAATTACCTTCTTTATTTTTTTGTATCAGGAATCGAGCTCAGGGCCTCCTGCTTGCCAAGCAAGCAACTGTGTTACTGAGCTACATCCCTGGCTCAAGTTACCCGTTTTAAACGGAAGAAAGTCAGTGACGTTTGGTACATTCACAACATTGTGCAGTCACTGTCTCTGTGTAGTTTCAAAACCTTCCATGGCTCCAGAGGGAACCTCCCACCCACTAAGGTCAGGCCCACCCCCGCCTGCAGCTGTGCCCTGTTCAGGAGGAGAACCTGGGTCTGCAGTGACAGCTCTGTCATCGCTCTTCCAAAAAATGCCAGTTTTCCCCTTTTCTCACTCTTCATCCCATGTATTTGAAGAGTCTGGGCCTGACCATAGCTACTAGAACTGCGGCAGTGGCTCATCTGAATGAGGTCCCTTTGAACTCTGTGCTCCTGGACTAAGTGTGTGTTCTCCCCTGCATTGGCTCTAAGGTATCCGTGTGCGCAGAGTTACAAGTTAATTTTGTTAAACAGAAATTCTAACCAAATCTGCATGGATGCAGTTCACTTTCCTCAGGATATTCTCTGAAAAGTGTATCAGGAAATGCCAAATACAAGTATTGCAGTCCTGTAGATAGGGACTTCAGAAGATTTCTGGAACATTTAATTCTTATTCTGGAAGAAACCATGGCATAAAGTTTGTAAAATTACATTGGTACCTGGTTCTACAGACTTAATTCTTTCCATGATTCTAGTCACAAACCAAAATTGGACGAGAACTGAATCTGGTTCAGCGGTTAGGTTTAATGTTGACCTTATGGGGAAATTGATTCTGTTCTTGTCCAATTCAGTTTGGAACCAGAATTGTGAAAGAAGTTCATGGACCGAAGCACCGCTCTAAACTGCAGGGTTGTTCGTTAGTTCCCTGACAGCAGGTTTGCTCTGTCTGGAGTCTTCATGTTTGCTTTGTGACCTTTAAAGCCTTCTGCTGTTGTTTCCTGTCCAGCTCTCTCGGGAATGCAGAGCTGAGGTCCAAAGGATCCTGCACCAGCGAGCCATGGATGTGAAGCTGGACCCCGCCCTGCAGGATAAGTGCCTCATAGACCTGGGGAAGTGGTGTAGTGAGAAGACAGAGACCGGGCAGGTAAGTGACGGGCATCTGGTCGCCTTCTGATGAGAGCAGTGCTTTGTGTAGGGCGCACAGTGATGTTTATCTCAGTGCTTCCTTCACAGATGTGGTTTGTTATATGGAGTGTTCTCTAGACAAAGTGCTTAGGAAAATATTCTTTGGTTTTATATGAAGAATAATTCACTTGAGGTTTCTGCTGAATGTTTTTTGTTGTTGTTGTTGTTATCCAGTAACTTGAATATTGTTTCATGTGTTGTAAGACATTGTAGAGTTTATCTCAAGCTGTTAAAAATGGTAGTGTAGGGCCGGGGATATAGCTCAGCAGCACAAGTACCTGCCTGGTAAGAGCAAGGTCCTGAGTTCACTGCCCGGTAGCCCCGCCCCCCAAATGGTAATGTACAAATGTGAATAGACACTTGCTTATAACATGGGTAAGTTTTGTTTCACCTGTAATAGGTAGTTTTTAAAAAAAAAAAAAAAATTATATTTTTTCAAGCTGGGCTTGGTGGTATGTGGCTTTAATGCCAGTACTTGAGAGGCTGAGGCAGAAGGATCACTGTGAATTCAAGGAGAACCTGGGTTACATATGGTAGTGAGTTCATGGCCAGCCTGAAATACATAGTGAGGCTCTGTCTCCAAAAAAAAAAAAAAAAAAAGGAAAAAAAGAATAATTGCATTTTTCTTAAGGAGCTACTTTTTCTATTATGATTACTATGTTTTGTAAACATTTTCTGTCTTTATGTTGCCCCTTAGAAAGCTTAGCGCCAAAGGCCTGGCCTGCTTCTAAAACCTATATAAGACTTGATGGTAGACAGTTTTGTACTAGGCTTACTACGGGCTGCATGCTCCTTTCCTTAACATATTTTCTTTTTCTTTCCTCTTTTTCACTCACTTTTAATTATTTCCTCCTGCCATTTTCTCCTTTTCATGCTTCTTGTAAGCCCCCTTAAGTCCTTTTGAGATAAGCAAAGTGTGAATTTATTCCTATGTACCTGTATGCATGACTAGGGTGCACGCCTTAAAACGGCACTACGTACCCATAGTCGCAGCATTCAGGAGGAAGATCACTGTGAGCTCAAGGCCAGCCTGGAATACATAGTGAGGGCCTGTCTCAAAAAACTAAACAAATAAAAAAACATACACAGAAGTTAACTTAGCTGGCCAAATTGAGTCTCAGAGAAGCATGTTGAATTCCTTCTCTAAAAGTCGAGTGTAATCCTGAGAAGGCATTTGCCCCATTTGTCATAGCCTGTGCGTTTAGGAAAGCACAGAGGAGTAGCGCCCGAGAATTACAGGCGTGCTGTGAATGGCTCTTCAGGATTGTGTGCCTGGTTTGGGGGACAGGAAGGGCAGGTACACAGCAGCAAGTTCCTTAGGAAGTCAGCAAGTCTTCCATCATAAAGAAGGATAATGAGCTGTGATCATTAGCTACTCATTTAAAGCCACATGACACTAGGACGAGGCGTGAACTCGGGCTTCCAGGCTCCATTTGTACCACGGAGTGTTGAAAAGTCACGTGTAGGAGCTGGAGCTTTTAAAGAAGTAACACGGCTGCCTACTACGTGTGCTGGGTGGAGGACTTTCTCTTTGAGCAGTCTGCTTCGAGAGCCTGCCGCAGTTCTGTTGGGCTTTTAGAAAATGCCTGTAGTCTGCTTTCTGCTGCCTCTGACCAGCAGAACAAAGGCTGTGTTCATACGGAATCCCAGGAAACAGTTTGCTGCATCCCTTGTGCACAGCAAACATCGAGAACGTGCCCCGGCTGCAGCCTGTCAGTGAGAAGCTAGGCTTGCCTAGGTGGGGTCGTGTTTTTTTGTTAGTACTAGAAATTGAACTCAGGACCTTGTGCTTGCCAGGCAGGCGCTCTGTCGCTGAGCTATATTTCCAGCCCCATAAGCTTACCTAGGAAAGAGGTCTGTGAATGAGATGTTTCCCTTAGCCATTTACTTATTATGCTTCCAAAAGTGTGGTGTTTTCTGCCCGACATGGTGGCACATACCTGTAATCCTAGCATTCGGGAGGCTGAGGCAGGAGGATCCTTGCAAGTTCGAGACTAGACTAGCCTGGGCTACAGAGTGAGCTCAAGGCCAGCGTGAACTGCACAGCAAGACCCTGTCTCAAAAAGAAAAAAAAAGTGCTATGTTTCCCCAGCCACTGCCCCATTCTGGCAGTTGTGTAATTCCTCTAACCTTTCTCCTTCCTTTTTATTCTAATCCTAAGTGGAGAGTGTCTTGCAGAAAGTCAGTAAGCAGAGTAAATAGCTGTTGATGTTCTTTGGGAAAGTGAGCTGGTGTTATATGTAAACCTCTAAACCTTGAAAAGAAGTAGCGGTAGGCTAAGGCTGCAGGGTTCCTCCAGCTCAAACAAAATAGCTTTTAAATAGCCAGACCCTAATATGCCCACTTGTTTTTGGAGTTTCCCTTACAGGATCCTGTTGCTACAGGCTGGGTTAGAATCGCAGTTCTGACTTGCAGAAGCTTTCAGCCCTGTGCCTATATTCTGGGCCCCCAGTCCCTATCTATTTTTCGCATAAAGAGTCTTAATATAATCCGTGTCTTTCCCTGTGACTGTGTTGCTCAGTTATCATTATCAAAATGCAGATTTTAATTATCAAAGTACAGGTTAAAAGTGGAATGGCAAGCTGGGGCAGGAGGGTCATGGCGAGTTTGACGTCAGCCTGAATTACAGAGCAAGACCCTGTCTCAAAAAAAAAAAAAAAAATTGAAAGAAAAGAAAAGGAAGACCAGTGAGAGGCGATAGACGCTGGCGTCTGGGCTTCTGTCTTTCACTCACGCAGCTGACGAGTGCCCCTTGCTTTCCTTTTTGCGTGCAGGAGCTCGAGTGCCTCCAAGACCATCTGGATGACTTGGCTGTGGAGTGCAGAGACATAGTGGGCAACCTCACCGAGCTGGAGTCAGAGGTACGCGGTGTGCAGCTCCCGGGAGGAGCGGGGTCTTCAGCAGCCGGGCCTTGGATGCTCCGTTCTATTTCTGCACTCTCGAGAGGTGGCTCCCCATCAGTCAGAAGAGGCTGCTCAGATTCTCCCCGTGCTTGTAAAGAAGGGTCCCAAGCAAGCATTCCTTAGCTCCGCGCAATCTGTGAGCCACTGCTGTGGACACCACTCCATACACTTAGCCTTTCGCCTCCTTCACAGGGTTATCGCAGTGGTTAGGCCTGTCTCCCCCTTGAGAAGAGATGACCACTGCACCGCGAATCTCCAGATCACATCCAAGAGTGACCTGTGCAGTCCTTGTCGTTAGCTCTTTTAATTCAGATGTTTGGTAATGTTCATTTGTTTACTGTTGGGTTAAATAACACTAGTTATTGCAGGCTGATCAGGCCCACAGTCTCCCAAGTGAGTGGATGGCAAAGGCGTAAATGAATGAGACAATTGAAATGATTTCAGGGCTCCAGGAGGGTCTCACCCTCATACAGCTTGGATATTCTCTGGGTTTAGACAAAGACTTCTCTCAGCAGCCCGTATTTATTTGGTTTTCAAACAAAGGAAAAGGATACTCAAAAAAACTCGGGAATCTAGCAGGACCTTGGGATAATTTTCCCAAGTAGTTAATTATGTCAGCCAGAAGAACTACCTTATCTTTAGGTTGGTATTTATTATAGGATGTGGAGACTGCAGTCTCCTTGTAGTTAATTGGGGTTGGAGCCAAACGTCCTCAGCTGTGGCCTTTTCTTGTCCTTTGAGGCATCACAGCTGCGCAGGCCTCAGCGGTGACCAGTGACTCACAGAGGTTTGCTTACTATGAATCCACTGCCGATCTTTAGACAAGGAGCCTAAGCCTTGGACAACTCACAAGTAAACGTGGAAAGCCAGTTGGTTACTATTAAGTCCTGCTCAGAGCCTCTTTGTAGTGGTCTCCCATCAGTTTACTAGAATGAAGACTGCTGGTTACGTATGGAAGATTGAGCACATGTGTCTCTTCCTGTTCCATTCTCAAAGCCACTAAAATATAGAAGGTGAGGTTTAAAACCCTCATAAACATAGGCGTTATTCAGAAGTAAGTTATGACTGTGGCAAGGAGGCAGCTAAAAACGTTAAAGTTATCTTGTGGGGCAGGAAAATGAGGAATTGCTGTTTTTTCGTCATAAACCTTGTAGTACTACTTGAATTATTGGAATCTGCAAGATGGGCCTGGGGATATAGCTCATTGGCACGAGTGCCTGCCTGGCAAGTGCAAGGTCCTGAGTTCAATTCCCAGCACCAAAAAAAAAAAAAAGAATTGGCAAGATATAAGATTAATTTCTCTGTTAGTCACTCGCTTCCTAGTTTTCAGAAGCTTGTTGCTTCCTCTGATTCTCCGACCTCTCCTCTCGGTCCTCCCTGCGCTCGTGGCTCGGTGTGTCGCTGTCTCGTGGACGAGGCTCCTCAGGCAGCCGTGTGCCCGGGCCGCCTTGCTGAAGGCACGGGGCAGGTGCTCCCCAGAAGCGAGTGTCTTACCTGCTCGCAGCCAGTGACCTGGTCATGAACTTGTTACAAAGACAGACGTCAGTTGCCACTGTTTGCAGTTTGAATTACTTAATACTTCCAAAAATCCTTATATGCTCTAATATTATTGCTAAATACTTTACTTAATTCTGTCTCCTCTTTTATTGAGGCATAAGAGGAATCTGTCTTTAAGAAGTTTGCCTTTCAGAGTACAGTGGAGGCCCCCCTTCTGTGTATTCTGAGGCCGTCCAACTTAAATACGAGGGTAGCTTCCAAGTGTACATATTCGGATTTTCCCATCTGTGCTGCTAATGGAGGAGAAACTACTCCCTCCGAACCCCTGTCTCTTTGGAAGCAGAATGATGTGTATATTTATCTTCTACAGGATATTCAGATAGAAGCCTTGCTGATGAGAGCCTGTGAGCCCATCATTCAGAACTTTTGCCACGTAAGTAATGTCTAGAGGAGCAGGCTTAGAGTTAAATGGGCTCTGTCCCCGAGGGTGTGTGATCATCTCTGTCTCCAGCCTCGTTCCTCCTAAGTGATGGTGGTCAGCTTTGTTCAGTAAAAGCTGGAGTTGTTACAAGACAGAGAGACAGGTCACTGCTGGGAAAGCTTTCTCTGTTAGCCTCTGCAGGTGGCAGGGGTGTGGGTAGCAGCCATACTTGAGATGCCCTTTATAAAAAAAGACGGCATAGAAGCCCCCAGTCGTGTGGCAGAGCTGCTTCCTAGGAACTGTTAGGAGTAACCCGGGATTCCCCTTCCAGTGTATCGCTTACTCAGTGCACGTCCTAAAGTGTGAAACACATCCTGCAACAATTGAGCTCTGACCAACAATTGAGCTCTGCAACAACAGCTCTGCTGTTGGCATCACATAAGGGCAGTGAGTAAAAGCCCTCAGAGTACAGATGCTTGTCTCCTGCAGCAACACTTGCTGTGTAAATTTTAGTCCAGTGAATTTACCTTTCCTTGTTTCTTTCTTTCTTGTCTCCTGCACCAACACTTGCTGTGTAAATTTTAGTCCAGTGAATTTACCTTTCCTTGTTTCTCAGACTTAGTGTGAATCATTTATAATGTGTCATTTTTGTGATTGCTTCCAGAATCTGTCCTGTTCCTTTTTTCATGGTCTGAGGGACAGGTGTCATTTATTAATAGTTACAGATGGAGTTTAAGTGTGCACTATCTTCCTCAGGATGTGGCAGACAACCAGATAGACTCTGGGGACCTGATGGAGTGTCTGATACAGAACAAGCACCAGAAGGACATGAACGAGAAGTGCGCCATTGGAGTCACCCACTTCCAGCTGGTCAGTGACACCTGCCTGCTGATTTCCTATGTCAGACTTTCTTCTTTTAAATCAGAGTCAGCATTTGAATAAGAAAGTTAGACCAACGAGGCATGATGGTACGTGCCTGTAGTCCCTCCCAGCTACTTGGGAGGCTGAAGAAAAAGGTTCAAGTTTGAGACCACCCTGTCTCAAAAAACACAAAGGACTAATGGTGTAGTTCAGTGGGAGAATGCTTAGTATGTGTGAGGCCCCTGAGTTTGATCCCTAGCACTTCAAAAAAAAGATTAGACTAAAGTCTTTGTAGTTAAATACATAACAAAAGAGCTGCTTTAGCCCTATATGGCGGCACACTATAATTCTAGCACCCTGGGAGACTGGAACAGAAGGATCATAAGTTCAAGCCCAGCTTGGGTAACTGTGTGAGACCCTATCTTAAAACAAAAAATAAAAAAAGTTGGGGATAGAGCTCAGTACATACCGGAGAGGGGGAATAAAGGGTATTTCAGTGTAGCAAGCATTTCCTTCAAAAACTGAGATCAGTCTGCTGAGGGAATGGACCTCTTCTTGGGGCACACAGCCAGCCTGCCTTCCACTAGGGTTAATGAGCATGCTGCTCCGCGGTCTCTGGCTTCTAGAGCCAGAATATAAAAGTGACTGCACAGTCTTGGGGGATTCAAGGGAAAAAAGCTGAAGCAGGCTGGAGAGTGAAGGAGAAAGGGTTCTTTGTGAGAGTGTCCTGGAGCAGAACCCTAGAGGAGGTGACGAGCACACGTGAGATCGGAATGAGAGCGTTTCCAGCCGAGGGAGCAGCGCATAGCTGCAGGGGTCCTAGACCTGTGTCACGCCCGCTGCTGGCTGCAGCTCACCACAGAGCTTCTGATTTCCCTTCCCATCATCTTTCAGGTGCAGATGAAGGATTTTCGGTTCTCTTACAAGTTTAAAATGGCCTGCAAGGAGGACGTGTTGAAACTTTGTCCCAACATAAAGAAGAAGTATGTAGCTTTTAACTGACCTGTTCTGCTTCCCCTGAGCCCCACTTAGCCCCGTGCGAGCGTCTCCGCATGTCGCCTTCGGTCGTGAGGCCACGACTTGCCAGGTCTTCATCGCTTGCAGGAGACGCCAGCGAGGCAGTCTCACGTGCCCAGCCTTTAGGCTACAGGAGCAGACTCAGCCTTTGCGGGCTCAGCTGCCAGCTGTGAACGCAGAGGAAGCTGTGTACTTAGAAAAGCACTTGCAGCGTGAATGCGAGGTGACCGGCCTCCTCGCGGCCTCATCCCATTCTGTCGTCTCTCGCTGAATTAGATATCTAGTGAAGAAACAGAACCTTGATGTGCCGAAGAACTAGGTCTTAGTGAGGAGACCAAGGAGCTTGACGGCATGGCTGCGCCAGTGCTTCCACGCTGCTCTTTGAAAAGGCACATTTTTAGAACACATTTCCCCTCAGAAACCAAGCTCCTATGTTGCCCAGGTTTGTAGATCTGTCAGGATTGAGTTGCACAGTGTGTCAGAGGCCCAGTCCCAGAGCTGAGAAGACCGTTCCTCTGTGGGCACATGTTCCTGACAAGCTAGTGTTGAGCTGTCCTCAACCACATCTGTCCTGTGCGCCATCAGGAACGTCATCAGCGGCCAGGCAGCTGGCTGACTTCCCTGACGGGAATGTGGCAGGCCTTTGATCCTCAGTGGTGTGTTCCACAGCCCCTGTTGGAGGGCTGGAGCTGCAGATTGTATTGAACCCTATATATATGCCAGGTTTTTCCTGTACCTGTGCATCTGTTACAGAGTTTAATTTATAAAGAAGATGCAGTAGGAGATGAATAAGAAAAATAAAGTATCTGGGAATGGTAGCACACACCTCTAATTCCAGCACTCTGGGAGGCTGACGACTTAGCCAGACCCTATCTCAGAATAAAACCTGTAATAATAACAGTAACAAACAAAAACAAAGTAGACCAACAAATGAAAACAGTATACTGTGATGGAAATTAGATGAATATCATCTCTTCTTACTCTGCCTCTCACCATCTTATTGTTAGCACTATGTGGTATGTTTTAGGAATTTTCGCATATAGTTTTTCCTTATATCCAGAACCTGCACCTTTTCACTTAAAGGACACACTTTGTGGCTTTTCTCTGCCACTTCTAAATTGCCAGTGTCACTACTCTTGTGCTTTGGAGTGATTGTTCAGTCAAATAAGAGGGAGACTACTACATAGTCAAAGTACTGCTTTTAGCACCTTGAAAAGAAGAGACTTAGAGAAAAGACGTTGGAAACATGACAGAGATGATGAATTCCGAGTTCTGGTGCAGCCCCTGCCCCAGCCGGGCTCTCAGGCCCTGTGGCTCAGGTGGCTCCAGCCAGTCACGCCTCTTTCCTCGGCAGGGTGGACGTGGTGATCTGCCTGAGCACCACTGTGCGCAACGACACCCTGCAGGAAGCCAAGGAGCACAGAGTGTCCCTGAAGTGCCGCAAGCAGCTCCGTGTGGAGGAGCTGGAGATGGTAATGGCGCCGAGAGTCTGGAGGGCCAGGGGAGGGGCTGAGACAACGGGGAGATTTTAGCAGATGTTGTGATGGATGAGACACAGGGTCATACACTAAAATTTTACTACGTTGTAGTTACTTTCGTTTTTCACTGTTTTGTTTGGATTTTGAATAAGACAAAATTTTTTGAACACTAGTTGGGTTGGTACAAACCTATAATTCCAGCACTTGGGAGGCTGAGGCAGAAGGATTGCACTAAGTGTACATAATGAGTATAAGGCCAGCCTGGACTACCTAGTGAGATCTTTTTTTTTTTTTTTTTTTGGTGTTTTGAGACAGTCTTGCTATGTAGTTCAAGCTAGCGTTGAACTCACTGTGTAGCCCAGGCTGGCCCCAAACTCATGATGATCCTCCTGCCTCAGCCTCCTAAGTGCTGGGATTACAGGCATGCATCACCACGTCCACCCAAGATCCTTTCTTCTAAAAAAACTTTTTTTACCACACACAACTGGAAGTCTAGCGATAAGACAAACTCTTAAGTGTGTGATGCAGTCATTGGGTAACATGTCCACAAGGGTTGAGGGTCTTTGCTCTCCATGCTGGTGGTGTTAGTGTCCCCTTCACCCGCAGGCTGGCTTCCCTCGTGGTTGCATGATGGCTGCCTGCAACAGCTGGACTATGTACTTACTCCACTATTTGTCTTCAGCAAAAAAAGGGCAGAGAACTCTTCCTTGCCATGAAATAAAGCACCTTCCCTTCAGATTGTGCAGCCTGGGATCTGTGCCCATCCCCCAACCAGCAGCAGTCCCCAGAGGAGCCCCATGGACTGAGGAGCCACAGCTCCCCCAGGCGATGGGTCTGGGGGCACCCTCCACGGTGTACACCCGAGGAACATGCTTGCTCTCCTTTGGAGGTCAAGCCCAAACTGCTAAAAGTTGTTTTACTGTGTTTTGTGCTGTGGGTCATACTGTTCCTTTCAGTCTAAGCAAAAACTAGTAATGGAGAGCAAACACCATTAGTATCCCAAAAGTTACCAGATGTTCACATTCAGTGCAGTGATTAAATGGTTACTGTATTTTGGTAAAACAATACACATAGACCCTCGCGTTGACATACACCTTTTAACCTTGAGAAGTGGCTTTCACGTAATGCTACTTTATCTCTCCACACTCCTCTGAAGGATGGCCGTGGCATTTCAGGATAGACACGGTATTTCGTTTTGCAGAGAAGGCTCACAGCCATGTAGCAGTTTGGCAGGATTGGGGCTAATTCCCAGCTCTCCCGGTACATGGCTGGACTGCCGCCACTTGCAGGAGATGTCAGTAGACAAGGCCCAGTCAGCAGATAGGTCTCAGGGCATGTGATATCTCCAGCCTAAAATAAGCCCACTTGTCCCTGCTGCCTCTCGTGCAGACAGAAGACATCCGTCTGGAGCCGGATCTCTATGAAGCCTGCAAGAGTGACATCAGGAACCACTGTTCCACTGTGCAGTACGGCAATGCTCAGGTGACTTCGCTGTTTTAATTGCAGAGGTCGTGTGGACGTGTCCTTATAAGAACTAATTCTTCGGGGGGAGGGGACCCATCATGCTATCCACCCTCATGCGTGCCAGGCTGCTCTTCCTAGAGTCCCTCCCCTGTCTGCTTTTCATTCTCTTCCTCTTTCCTGTTACTTCACCCTGCCCTACCTTGTCTGCCTGGGAAATTCCTAGCGATCCTTCAAGCGCCTTCTCCCAATGGCTTTCCAAAACTCAGTACCTACAGAATTGTCCCATGTTCCCATCGCACCAAGTAACTGCTAGCTACACCCCAGTCCTTCTTATTATGAGATAGGTCTTGAACCTGGGGGGTCCTGCTACTTCACCCCTGGAATAGTAAAATTATAGACCACTGTACCCAGCTGGCACACAGCAGTTTTTAATTTTAGCCTACAGAAGCATCATCTAGGAAGTTTTTTTGTTTCTTTTTCTGTGGTATGGGGGATGGAACTCAGGACCTGCATTGAGCTACATCCCCAGTCCTTTCTCTCTCTCTCTCTCTCTCTCTCTCTCTTTTTTTTGAGATAGGGTCTAGCCATGTATTTCAGGCTAGCCTTGAATTCACTATGTAGCCCAGGCTGGCCTCAAATTTGCATTGATCCTCATGTCGCAGCCTCTTGAGTACTGGGATTACAGGCATCACTACCATGCCTGGCTTCAAATAGCTGATTATTTAAAAATGTTTTCTCAGGGCCAGGCATAGTGGTGCACACTTGTAATCCCAGCATTCTGGAGGCTGAGACAGGAGGATCATTGCGAGCTTGAGGCCAGCCTGAACTGCATAGTGAGACCCTGTCTCAAAAAGACTGAAAAAAAAAAAAAAAAA